ATGTCTGGAGATAATCATGAAGGTTTTGCAGGACAGATTCCCTGGAATATGTTCCAAGGAAAAATAAGATGATATATAAACTATTAAACAAAAGAAACTCAAAGGATTTCCCTTTTGGATTTTACAAATAGCTGAAATATTTAGGATTACAGCCTAGGCATACATTTTAAATTTATATATAATTTAGATTTATAAGGCAACCCAACTCCACCTTGTCACTGGGTGGTAAATGCTCTGATAGGGAAGGTGACTAGTCAACCACTATTTCTTCCTCACTAAATTCATATATTACTAGTTAATTATGGTTTATTATGTCACAACTGAATGTATTTATATACCAATCAAGTTTGCAACCCAAAGTAGCCATATTCATATGATATTATAAGGCAAACCCAAATAAACACATCAGAGCATAGCAGGCTATGTAAATCAGGACATTCTTTTCTAAATCGCACCATCTGCTTCTATTACAAGGAATACACTGCATAATAAGCAGGAAAGAAGAAAGCTGAGAAAAAGATAGATGAGAAAAACAACCATAGAAGCTTAAATTTGAAAGTCCATTCCACGATCTTTTGCTACTAGAGGGGGGAAGAAAGATGGTGCCTCTTCGTTTCATTTGATCTACCAAAATGGATTCTTGTCTCGAATCTAATAGAGTAAGTGTCATTGGATCCATGTCAAGTATCTGCTTCTGCTTCTGAGGGCATCAAACTGGTTTGGAGGTATTCAAGGCAGACACACCCCTATCTGGCAATTTACACCATGGTCTGCTTCCAAACATCTGCAGTATTTAATAATAAAACTGGCTCTGGTTAAAAGTGAAGTCTTTTCTCTCATATAATTTGTAGGCATTTTGCTTTTTCCTAAATGTCTTGTTTGAATGAGTTGGCAAAATTCTCCATGCATCTCACCAGTTACTGCTTAGGTTTAAATTTCCATTAGGTTCCTTTTCCATTAATCTGCAGCAAAAAAGCCAATTAACCAAATTATCCATAACCGATGTATGTTGGTGGGTTTACATAGCAAGCAAATTCATAGCTACATTTTTGGGAAGTTTTTAAAAAGCCACTCAGATGGAAATGCCACTGTAGTCAATGTTCCTCCAGGGCTGAATCAAGAACAATGAATTATTAATCTGCACAACAATTTTCATGATAGGAAGCAGTGGGAAAACCAAAGAGGAACTGTGTGTTTTAGAAATTTCGTTTGGGCTAGTTTACATTTGATTGTAGCTTTTATGAAACTCATTTAAAATTTATGATGGCCCTTATCTGAAACACATTTTTCATTCTTCTGACTTATACAAACAATAGGCTTTACAAACCAAATGTTTGTAAAATGTACATGTATTTTACAGGCAGCCACGGTGCTGATACAATGATGATGATGATTTAAAAGCTATTTTAATAAAAGGATTTTTTCACAGTGGTTTTACCAGGTCAACCAACAGCCCAGCTACTGTAAACATATTCTCCTGGTTCATGTTTCCTCCCTAATTTGTTTGTCAAATTAGCTATAGAAATGGTCTTATGTAGGAGTCTCATTAATTGCATCTTGGCTGATTTAAAATGTTGATGGTTATAATGATGATGATGATGATGACAATGATTCCTCCCACTTGCAGTTATTGTATATTGCTCTGGGTACTTCTTAAGATGGGAAAAAGCAGAATACTAATTAAATACACTTAATGTAATAACAATAAATTAATAGGAATTCCATCATATTCCAGAATTCCCTGAAAGGATTACTTATCCAGTTCTTCTTCCTTTCCCCTTAAAATATACTTGTTCTGTAGATACAATTTTCAAAAATAGCTTCTTGCAATTCTGCTTCATGAGCTCAGCTTTCATGAAAACAGAAAAAAACTAGCTACTTTTCTTGATAGCAGATTTTATAAATCTACACAGCCATAATATTCTTGTTGCCTTGAAAGGGAGGGCGTGGGGGCAAATATATTGCTGGGAGTGCAATATATAGTGCTGAGGGGGCAAATATATTGGGGGTGACAAATATATTGCTGAAACAAACAGGACACCAGCAGCTTTGCCTCAATACATTAATCTCAGAAGTGGCTACATTCAGGTTTGATTTCTGCAATATATTATTTAAGTTTTCTGAAACATGCCTTATAAAACTAACACAGGTCCACATAAAACAATTTACAAAAAATACATTTTCAGTACTGCCAGTACTACTGGAATGTTGGGTGGAAGGTGTAATTAAACTGCATTTAAAAAACAATGAAGTATATGATTTTTTTAAAAAAAACCTAAACCTAAACCTGGATTAGACATCCTTGCACCCTCACCTAGACTGTGACACATTGTGACCCAGATGTACACCTTCAGCTAGAACAGGTTTGTCTGCTCTACCACCAGGCTGAGAAACTGGTGTGGGATGATTTACTGTTAATAGACTCCCACTTTCTTCCTTCTAGTCAAGATGCAGAACATCTAACCTAAGCCAATTTATTTTGGCATCTGAAACACAAATTCAACAAGAACATCCTCTCCTCCCTGACTGTATAATTAACACAGAAAATTTTAAAAGTAAGAGTTTTCTGCCTTTTCATGATAATGCAAACCAGCTGTTTGAGGTGACCTTCTCAGCCTTTTAGCTGCTCACTCCACAATATGAACAAAAACCCAACACTGTTTGACAGCCCTTTCTTAGTCATTCTGAACAGTATTACAAATGGCTGCAAGAATTATACAGGTCAGATTTGTTAATCCTGTTTCCAACACTGATGGGCAGCAGTTGTTCCAGATTTTCTAGCCCTACCTTGAGATCCCAAAATTGTGTCTAGCACCTTGTACAGAGTGCAATGTATGTCTTCTACTGCTCCATCTTTGTAGTACAGATCTGCAAACTATTTTTCCAGATCAGTCATTGCTTTAATAACTATGTCTTATGTTTTTCCTACCAGCTTCAAGAATCAGCTGCTATTAAGCCTTTGGTGCTTCATATGCAACACAGCACCAATAATTATACTTGAGTCAGAGAAGGATGAATCTTTCTATTAACAACTATCTGGAAGAAAAGAATTTTGACTTGCAACTAAAAGGAAGTAGAAAAAGCCTCTAATATGATTTATTTATTTAAAAAAATTAGCATGGTCTCCCATCTTGTACAACATAACTCTAAGCAGTTCACAGCAACAATAAAAATATGTAAGAAAAAAAATCTAAAAAACCCCCCAGCACCCAGTGCCCTAAAACAACAATCCCCAATAACAACATAGCACTAACTGGGCTTCAACACTAGAGCCAGTTTGGTCTAGAGATTAAGCCACCAGGCTAGAAAGTGAGATACTGTGAGTTCTAGTCCTGCCTTAGCCAGAAAGTTAGATGGGTGATCTTGGGCTAATCACGCTTTTCTCAGCCCAACTCACATCACAGGATTGTTGCTGTGGGGCAAATAGGAGGAGGAAAGTATCTTGGATATGTTTGTCACTTTGAGTTATTTGTAAAAAATAATAAAGGGGGATAGACAATAAATAAATAAATAAATACAAAAGGATCAAATATATGATCAAGAATGAAAGCAATAGATACAAAATAAGTATCCGAAACAATGGAACAGGGAGAGGGAGAGGGAGAGGGAGGGAGGGAGGGAAGGAGGGAGGGAGAGAGAGAGGGAAAGAGAGAGAGAGAGAGAGAGCAAATGCTTTGTGGGGAAAAAAGCTTTTAAACAGATGAAATACCAGTTCTGGAAATTAGTACCATTAACTTTGAAGTGGAATTTTCAATTCTAGTTTTAATGAGAACCTTTAACCACCAGCAAAATGTTCTTGTAGAAGTCAAGGTTAAAGCAATCAACTGAGTTGTTTAGAATATTAAATTGAGCAGCTATGGCATTTTGAACAGTGTCCTATGCCAGTTTAGTTATCATTCCTATAATAGGCAGGGACAGAATACTTTTAAAAGCCAGAGGAAGAGAGAAGAGAAAGTAACAGAAAAGGATTACTGAATTAATGTCCAGTTTACAAGTTTTCCAGGAATAGCTAACATTATTCAGAAACAAACAATATTAACATACATTGTTTAATCAACAAAAAAGCTTGTGTATTAATTTCAATACAAGTTATATAACATAGGACTGTTTTATGTAAATTAGCAGAATAACTGCTGCAAATACAATACAAAATATTTACATAAAATACAACTAAAAATTGCCTGAAAATATATACAAGTACAAAATGCTTTAAAATCCGTTTCTTTGGCCATCTGTCAAGAAAACAAACATTAAGACAAAATGTATGGATCATCTTTTTCTGGGATGCCAGCACAGATTTGCTCATCCAATGTTGTACAATAGTTCTCATAGCTACCCTGTTTACCTTAAGTTTCGGCTAGATTCCTTATATTAGGGATATAACTTTGGAAAATGTATAGATTCTTTCTTTTAATACTGTTTTATTCTATGATTATAAAACACAAGTAATACAGTATTATTTAGGTATGGTAGTTTTTATGCAGTGCTAAATGGAGATTATTAAAGCTCTTAATGTTTAGATAACTTAAACCAGGGGCAGGCAACCTTGGCTCTTTTATGACTCGTGGACTTCAACTCCCAGAATTCCTGAGCCACCCATGCTGGCTCAGGAATTCTGGGAATTGACGTCCACAAGTCATAAAAGAGCCAAGGTTGCCTACCTCTGACTTAAACCTTTAAAGACAAAGAAAAAAAACTTTATATCAATATTTATTATGATTTCTAAAATGTTAATATTAATAAGCATAACATTATTTAAATTTACAACTGCTGCTAAATGTGAGATTCATATATGCATCCTTAACAGCAGTATGGCTATTGTAGAATCAATCTCATAGTCCTATACATTTTTACCCAGATACAGCAATGTTAAGGCAAGCCCAAATGAAATAAATTCATTTTCTGTCTTTTGAATTATATCTCTAATATGGCTTGTTGGTTATATAGAACGAAATTAAACAGATCTTTGGTCTGGTACAGCAACACATAAAATACCTTACCTCATTTGGATCCTGCTGATCTCGCAAGGTAATCGTATTCTTGATGAGACTGATAAAAAAACCATTCACTTCATCTCGTTTTTTATTTGGCAAAATGCGAAGTAGAGGGATCATTATACATGGAAATGCAACTTAAATAGAATTTTGAAAGACCAACATTAGCAGTTGTTCAATTATCAATTAATGCAATTAACCCCAACCCTTAATTTCATACTGTTTTTCTTCCAAATTCAGAAATCTATTTTTCTCCCTTTTTAACCTTTTTTAAATAGTCTAGCTTATCTTCTAAAAAATAATAATTTCAGTAAAAATTATTACTAAAAAATTACTGAGATAATTTCAGTAAAAAAAAATTAAAGGGTGCTCCAATTGATAGCATGACAAGGCTTTTTTTTTTAAAAGAAGTTCCTAAAATGTATGATGGCTCTAAAATACAATTATGAGTTTATGAATTCATACCCATTAACCTGTCTTGTTCTGAAACCCAGTCTGCCTCACTGACTAATATTTGCATATTTTTCACAAACAATATTTATAGAATCCTGAAACAATTAGAAGGTCTATCTTTTGGCTGTGGTAAGGTTTTGTGTAAATATACCATTTAATTAATGAACTATGAAACAGAAGGACAGTGAAGACTTTTCATATGGGGAATTTGGCCAGAAATATTTGTCCTTTATAGGAACTATATTGTAAGTGTTATAGTGTAACTTACTGGTGTTAATATTAATAACTTACTTATGTTCACTGCACAAATTTGAAGCTTAATCAGTAATTCTTCTGTAAGCAGCGAGAAAGTGAATGTGAAAGCAGCCATTGTTCTTAAAGTGAAGAACAATGAATTTCTGTTTTACATAGAGTAACTTTTTTTTTTATTGAAAGTTTTTAAATTTTACAAAACAAATCCCTTCCCCAACCCCCCCCCCACTCTCCCATACCCTCCACCACCTCCCCAAACCTCCCAAACCCTCCCCCAACCTTCCCAGAGCTGAGTACAGGCTTAATTAAAATTTTTCAAAAAGAAACTTAAAACACATATAAATCCTAAGCAAATCTAAATACATTAAATTAAATAGGTTATCTTCTCTAAAAAATAATAATTGCAATCATTAAACACGTTATAGTATACTCTAAACATTTTCTAATATCATACTTATATTATTATCCATCATTCTTTATAAACTCCCTCCAAAACATAAATTTAAACATTACTTTCTTTAAATATCTATACCTACAATATAAAATCTAATCTCTCCCTCTTTCTTTATCCTAAAACACAAAAATAAACATATAAACATTCATTATACCATTAAGACTAAATACTCCTTTGAATACTTAAACTAAGTACTTAAACTTAAACTTCTTATCTAAAATTTTCATTCAATCTCCATAATCTTCTCTCCTATCAAAAAAACTTAAAAGACATATAAATCCTAAACAAATCTAAGTACATTTAATTAAACAAGTTATCTTCTCTTAAAAATAATGATAATAATAATAAAAAAGCCCAATCATTAAACACATTATAATATACTCTGAACCTTTTCATATCATACTTATATTATTATCCATCATTCTTTATAAACTCCCTCCAAAACACAAATTTAAACATTACCTAAAACATTAAAATTCCCTTATACATATTTAAATCTTTACCAATAACAAATTCCATCCACAATAAACACATTCCTTATCAGTCTCTCTTATCTATAAACCTCGAAAGAAGTACTTTGAAATCTGCCCTTAAAGGTAGCTCCAAAAAGTTTGTAAATCTTGCTTCTCCCGCAGACTCAGTACTCTTTTGAATACTTAAACTAAGTACTTAAACTTAAACTTCTTATCTAGAATTTTCATTCGATCTCCATAATCTTCTCTCCAGTAACCATTTCCATCCACAATAAACACATTCCTTATCAGTCTCTCTTATCCATAAACCTCGAAAGAAGTGCTTTGAAATCTGCCCTTAAAGGTAGCTCCAAAAAGTTTATAAATCCTGCTTCTCCCACAGACTCAGGAACCAATACTTGTGAGGCTTCCTTAACCTCCTTCTTCTGTTGCTCTTTTTCTTTACGTTTATATGTTGCACGAGTTGTCCTCTGCTCCTTCATCTCGACTTGTTGAGGCCCCTCGAACTGAGATTTCCCATTTTTCATTAATATAGGCTCTTCAGACTGCAATTCTACCCTTAAAGGTTGCTCCAAAAAATTTATAAATCCTACTTCTCCCGCAGATTCAGAAACCAATACTTGTGAGGCTTCCTTGACCTTCTTCTGTTGCTCCTTTTCTTTACAGTTATATGTTGCACAGGTTATCCTCTGCTCCTCCATCTCAACTTGTTGAGGCCCCTCAAACTGAGATTTCCCAATTTTCATAAGTATAGGCTCTTCAGACTGCAATTCTACCTTCTTTTCTTCCAAAGCTTTAAACTTAATAGATGGCGATGAACATACCCCCAGGACCGAAGTATAAAAGTCTTTTGCTTTAGAAACAGTATTAAGTCTATAACGTATCCCCAGGTAACTCACCACCATTCCAGTCGGAACATCCCATCTGAACAAGATTCGTCTCTTTTTAAGTTCATCTGCTAAAAAAGCAAACTCCTTTCTTCTTCTTAAAATTTTAGATGGGATCTCCTTTAGAATTATAACATCTTGTGAAGCAATTTGAAACCTCTTCTTATAAAAAGCTTGTATAATTTCGTTGCGCAGGGATCTTTTCCCAAAGTAAATTACCACATCTCTTGGCAAATTCTTTTGCTCTGCCACCACAGAGTTAACTCTAAATGATTTTTCAATTTCACTAAGTATTTCCTCTTTTTCTTTATTCAAAATCACAGCAAAGTCCTTTGCAACCATCTCTCTCAGGTCTCCTTGCACAGACTCTCTCAAACCTCTGATTCTTAAAGCATATTCCATTTGTCTATATTGAAGCATAAGAATCTCATCTTGAAAATTTTCCATCTCTTTTTCCATGCTTTCAAATTTTCCCTCCATCAATTCCACTTTTTCATCTACCTCTTCTACGCGAGAGTTCAGCTTTTCAAGAACAGAGGCAACTCCTTTTAAAGCCAAAACTATCTCTTGCCTCAAAATCTTATTATTTTCCTCTAAAATCTCTTTCATTTCTTCCCGAATCTGAGATATAACATTTCCCATCATATCTTGTCCTTCACCATTATTGGCTGTACCAAGGAAGAGGGTGAAGCTATTGATTTAGGTTGTTGTGCTGATGATAACACCGAAGAAGAAACCACCTTAGGAACTGTAGGAATTACTGAACCCTTTGGAGCCATCTTAAAAAAATCTTTACTCCTTCTTAAAAATTACAAAAATTAAGCAAAAGAAAAAGAGAGATTAACTCCAAAAAATCAAAAATCCTTCAAAAGGAGATCATTATAATAAAAAGAAAGGAGTTTAAAAAAAAGGAAAAAGGAAGAAGAAAAAAAAATGATTAAATAAAAAAAATCCATTCCATTTTTTAAAAGTACAAAAAACAAAACAAAGAAGTTAAACAAAAATAATAATGCTTCTAAAATCCAAACCCAACATCAAAAAATCATTATAAATAATCAAGTCCACATTCCGTTCCAGTCATTAAAAAAAAAAAAGAAAGGGAAAAAAAAACACCGAAAAGCCTGCCGATCGCCATTTTACTTTCCCTTTCAACAAAGGGGAAAAAAAAGGGAATATAAAAGTAAAAGTAAGTCTTTAAACTTAAAATCCAAATAAAATCAAAGAAAGCAAAAGCTAAATCCTCTACTCAGCTCTGTCCGTCTCTAAGAAAAACTCACCAGTTCACTTTAATCGCGGAGGTGGTTGCAGCGGCTTGTTTTGTCCCTAGGGACAAAAGCAGCTGGGAAGCGGAGACAGTCTGAACTCTGTGGGAGCACTCTTTTCACCCCCCCCCAAAAAAGCCTTGGGGGTGCATAAGAGGCTCTACCACTATTCAGACAACCCTCTTCCCCCCCCTTTGCCTGGGAGGGGGATTTTGAACCGCTGAACAGCTGATGTCCGCTGTTCATAGAGATTCAAACACTTACCCAGGAGGACGGCTACAAAGTAGCCGCCATCACGCGCGCAGATCCACCGGAAGTCCCCACACAGAGTAACTATTGCAATATTGATGGATTCAAAATAAAAGTAAATAAAAATAAAAAATATAAAACTGCTTTCACATACACAGAAAGATAGCTTGCAGTTCAATCCTATGCATGTTTACTTGGAGGTAAGTCACAAAGGGAGGCATATTCCCATAAAAATATTAATAAGACGTTATTGTTTTAGTCACACTAAAACAGGGATATCCAAGGATGATAGAACAACAAAGATACCAATATTATCATTTGCAAAAACAAAAATAATAATGTTCATTTTCACTGACATTTGTTAAATATAAAGTAGCATTGTTAAAGAGATATTTCTTTTATTTTTATTTAAAATATTTAAATTTGTGGCATAATGCAGTTACAGTATTTGCTGGTATACCCTTTTCTGTTTGATGATTTTATATTGACTACATCCAATCAGTACTGCTAATAAAAATATTCTTAAAGGTGGGATAGAGCTTTACAAGGACAAATCCAGAAAAAAAATCAGTTCAAAAGTTGGCATTAGGGAACAAGATAATACAGGTAGTCCTTGCTTAACAACGGTAATGGAATTTCCATTGTTTTTTTTTTTTGTAATAAAATTGTTATTTTCTAATTTTACATTTAGGTATTTAAAAAGCAACATGGTGGTTGGGTTAATCAATAGTTCAGTAACATACAGATTTTTTTAGTAGAAATCTCAAACTACAACCTCAAATATTTCCTCTCTTTTTCCCTTAATATCTACTATCTCATATTTAAGCTAATACAATTCTTATTATATCAACTAAATAAAAACATCATTATTACATTTATCAATAATTTTTAGCTTATACATATCTTAATTACTTTTACATTCAATCTTTATATTCAATCAATGTCCTGTAATTAGTTTTTCCCAACTTTTAGTTTCCCATCAATATTCAAATTTAACATTTGATATTTATAATTTCCAGGTTTTAGGTAACCAAAGTTTTTCCTTTATCTCAATTCATAACAGAATCTAATATTCAAAATACACATCTTATCTATTGGGATATAATCTTGTTCTATTTCCTAAAAGTTATCTATTTCCCCCATCTTACATCATCTAATTAATAATACAGTATCCCCTTTAATAAATCAAAGCCCATTATATATATTGTCTGAGTTAATCAATAAATAAAACATATTCATAATATTTTTTTCTTTTGGTCTAATTTTTATGTATTAAACAAAATAGCATCCTTATTTTTCACTAATTTCCAAATATTTTAAATTTAATGACCAAAATTTCCCTTATCTCAACTTCTCCCTTTGGCCCTCTAATTAGTAATATGAAATCCCCTCTAATAAATCAAAACCCCAATTTTCTTCAGCCTTATTCTGCCTTTTTTTCTTTGCCAACTAGCCTTTCATGTCAACGCTTTTAAATCATCAAATGGATCTTTCTCTATTATTATATATATTGTCTGGAATAAGAGAAATCATTTAGTTGCCATTTTTTGGGAAGTGCTAGCCCATTTGTATTCCTTAAATCGTCTCCCTATTATTCCAAATCCCCACAATTGTCCTGGTACGCTTATCTTCCATTCCTTCTGTTCTTCTTGTTCCTCAAATTTCTTCTGGTTTATATAGAAAGTCTTTTCCATTTTCAGTATTGTCAGTCCCTTTTCTGGATATTCCATTAACTGTATTTGTTGGTCAATTGAGTCCTCTGTCTTAGTATTTGATTATTCCACCTCTTCTGTTACCTTCTGTGTTTTAGTCCTTTAGTTGTAGTCAGAATTGGGTTTGTATATCTAAGCTGACATCTTGTTCTTTTCTGTAACATCTTATTTGAAAGAATAGTTTCATGTATTGCTTTCAACATGGAAGGAATCTTTTCCTGGTTCTGATCCATCTCTTTCATGTGTTTATAAATAGTCTTTATAGTAGAAGTCATTTGTCAAGCAAGATTTTATAGTCCAAGGTATTTCATCATCTCATATAGTAACCAATATTCCTCAAATAAAGAGATAGGAAGCCAATTCCCCACATATAATTCTGAAAGTCAGTAAAGGTTTACATTCACAGTTCAGTTATGCCACCCAGCGGTTCTCATACAACTGAGTTTCTCATAGGTAGCGCCAAGGCCAGAAGAGTCTTATCTAAGGTCTGGGCTTCGAGCCAAGTCTCTTTTAGGAAATAAGAAGTTATAATACCAAACTTTGCCACAAGATGTCACCGATGCCATTTAAAGTTTTTTAAGTCCAAAATTTTTATAATCCTTTTTCCAATCTTATTTCTTTTTCGTAGATAAAAGCAAAAGTCTCCAATAAAAATAGGAAAATTTTTGGTCCCCAAGTTTCAAGAACATATAAATCCAATTAGATTAAAGATATTCTTTTAGTGCTTTAATTCCTCTGGGTAGTCAGTTGCCGCTATTCTTAGAGGGTGGGATAGAGAAGGAAGATTCCCTTCTCTCTCTCCTCACAGTGGGAAAGGTACTTCGGGCAGCTTTTACAGGAAAAAATACTAAGGGTAAAGAGAAGATTAGATCTCACCCAGTCTCACCGCACTGCTTTAGAAGTGCCTGGTGGTAAGTTTGACTTCGGCTGTCTGCAGCCTAGTGATGGGCCATATTGCTATGGCCAGTCTTACCTCTGCCAGTTTGGAGGGCTGCCCTGGATCAAGCAGAAGGACTGCCGCTCTCCCAAGATCAAGCGGGGGTCCCCTTCTTGCTCGTCACCCCTACAGGGTGACTTTCGACCCTTTCCAGGGTCCCCCAGTGGAGAGAAACCAAATGCGGAAGATGGAGCTCGCCTTCCAGCATCTGCGGCAGCCACGATGGCAAACCGGAATTTCCATTGTTAAGTGATGCAGATATAAACCATGATGTCACATGACTGTGTTGCTTAGCAATGGCCATTCCAACAGTCCTTGTTGTCATCATTAAGAGAGGACTGTGGGTCATTAAAGAGAATCTCTTTCATCTTCCTGCTGTTTTCAACAAGCAAAGTAAATGGAAAAGTTGGCAGGAAGTTGCAAGTCCTGAGTGATTAGTATACAGGCTGGTGGGTGGGCAAATGGCTGTTACAATGAAGTCAGAACCTGGCCATGGCAGGGGGGATTATGCAGATGGCAGCTGCCACACTACGTGAACACAGATGGGAGAGTACATTGCTGGCTGCCACTTCATTGTGCAGGCATGTCCTGCCAAGTGCAGGTAGGAGTGTTACACATGGCCGCACAATACACAGTATAAGATCCCTGGGATCTCGTATCCCATAACCACGTTCCTTGAGAGAAAAAGCAGTGAGAGTAATTTGAGACCCTCTGTGCTGACTTCCCTATTAACTTTGCTTGTGGGAGGGTGGCAAGGAAAGTCATAAATGAAGATAACATGACTATGGGACCCTGTAACTGTTATACTTGAGACCTGGTTTCCAAAGGCTCAACTTGCAATCGTATGACCACAAGGGTGCTGGGACAGCCGGTCATTCAGTACCATCAGAAACTGCTCTCTGAATGGGTAGTTATTAAACCGAGAACTATCTGTAGATCTCAGCCCATCTTGATCCTGCAGGTTTAATTAACTCATATCATGTACCCAGCAATTTATTTTGAAGCAGACGAAACAAGACAAGTAGAAAGCATTCTTCAGATCCCAGAAAGCTTCATCTCCAAATATGTATGGGATTTGAGGAATGATAGAAACAGGAAATTAACGTATTACTTGTAATTTCAATCTATTGAACAGAAGATGTGGCGAATGGTTGCCTGCAGCAAAGATCATTGAACACATCTTCTGTGCTTTTTACAGTTATTAAATCAAGAAAAATAACAAAATTTTGTGAAAATTTGATATCTCCCAAAGGTTTCCCAACTTTCCCAGAGACTTGATACCTTTCAGAGCAACTAAGAGGATGCTTAGGCATCTCTAAATGCAAATAGACATGCAGTCACATCATAGCTAACAATAAAGAGCTAAGAAATTTTTCCAGCTTTTGAATCTTTCTTAGCTTCCTCTGATATTTCTCAAACGTTTTGACCATCCATTTGGATTAAATGTGGAAGAATAGATGCAGTCATCAATGTGAGATATACTTACCAGCAAGGATGAGAAGAGGTTTAAATATTAAAGGTTCAAAGAATCTTCTGGTGTACTTAACAAAAATGTCATTAGGAGACTTCTGAGAATCAATAGGGGTACCAAAAGCTACACTTGCAACAATATCCAACATGAAGCAGCCATAATTCCTACAACAAATTCAAAAACGTGGATGTTAATATGTCCTTTTTTTCATTACCTTTTTTTTTGCTGCAAGGCATTTTGAGGGTTTTTTTACGTCAAAGCATTTAAAATTCATATCATAGCATCAAGAGTTATTTATAACAACTTGTCAGTCTATGTGTAGCTTCTTCAATGATAATTTTAAACTTTATTCTTTTTTATGAAAAAAAATCTTATACTTTAAAACCATAAAATGGGAAACCACAATTTCTTATGCATGGCTCTGAACGCAGTACCATTCATATTATCATAATGAAATCTTATGAACAGCTGGAAATCAATTCCTCCCTTCTTTCTCTAAATAGAATTTTCAAAGGGTTGGTTCATCATTTTATGCTTCCCAGATCAAGTGATAATTGCATTTATGAATGTGACATCACAAATACAATTCCAGAATGGATCTTATTTAAGATGTCAATGGCAATGAAAACATGTTACATATTAAGTTGTCAGTCACTAGGTACTGAAATGAATGTAATAACATCTTTTCATTTTAAAAATAAAAAGTAGTATTAATTGCTTTAAAGTTTTTTTAAAATGATATAAACAATTAATAGCTAAAGTGGTATTCAAGAGTTATTAATCAGTAATATGTGGATTAAAAAATATAAATCTAGTGTCACTTTTATCTGCCATTTTAAACAGTACTTTATTTCTTAAAACATTTTTTAAAAAATCATTATATACTGACCAGAAATAGTTTTTTATTCATTTATTCTCAATTAAGAAAAAAAATCATATTGAATCAGCCTGCCTGAAATGTTCTTTTTACTACTAGTAGACATTTTGATTAACAATGAACCCAAATTATCATAAAACAACACCACAGAATAATAAAGTTGGAAGAGGCCTTGGAGGTCTTCTAGTCCAACCCCCAAACTCTGTTCAAGCTGGTTCCTTGGAGTAGTCAGTCATTTTCAGGGCTTTTTTTTGTCATAGAACGCCCAGAACGGAGTTCCGGCACCTTTTTTGGATGGAACCTTGTAGGGTAGGCAAGATGGGTTGTATAACGTGTGAGAAGCATCTTTTTTTTTTTTTAATACAAAAAAAGCACTGGTCATTTTACTTCAGTCACTGACCAGCAAAGCAAAACAAAAAAAATCACATTTAGTCCCATGAAGAACTTCATAACTTTCAGAACTTTTGCCTGAGTGGGTTTCATCCTCTCTTGCTTCTCTATCCTTTTTTTTTCTCTGTGTGTCATGTTTCTTGGATAATAAATCTGTATGGAAGAACTACAGGAAGCCCCTGTGCTAACATGTAGAGTCAATATTTTGTAAATAAATACGTAACCTATCCAACTTCTTCCAACAAACCGCAGTAGAGTGTCACCATAATGTTAAGCTGCAGTTAATCCTATTAGGAAACAGGTATTTTGGATCTCATACTTGTAACTTGTAAAAGGAGAGTTTATGTAATATAGGCTTATTTTTTTTATTAAATGTATATGCCCCCCATCTCACTACTGAAGTGATTCTGGGCAATATACTATGTGTTATCATAACATGTAAATGTAGTTAGAGTTTGGGTTTATTTCCTTTCTAATTTTTAAAATTTCATTTATAGACAGCCTTGCTTTGGATACACAAGTACCAATCATTTTAGTTACAATTACTGTTTTCGAATAAATTATAACCAAATCAATAGGAGAAACGCATGCCTTCGAAAGTGTCAAATGACAACAGAAAAAGAGGGGAAAAATTAAAACATTTGTACAATAATTCCATATTTAGGATAATTTGGCAAGTCAATGATGATAAAACTCTCCAGTAGAAGATAATTTATTAAAGTACCTTTGAATGTCAAAAGCAGTACCAGATTCCGCATAGACCTTTAAGTTATTCAGCAGGATACTGCATGCCTCGTCAATTAATGGAGTCAACTATAAAGAAGCACAGGTATATATTCCAATTTTAAAACATATTGTATTTTTCTACATTAATTATATACTGCAGGAGCCAACTGATCTCAAGAGCTTCTCATCAATGGAGGAAGTTATTTTCTCAAGGAAGAAAGTGAAGTATTGCATTTATACAAATGAGATTTTATATTTTAAAATGCTTTCTCCCGTATTGAAATCCCCTGACAGTCCCCTCTATCTTGATAATTCTGACAGTTACTCTTAGATTTTTTTTTATGACAAAATGGTACCAAATTGTAAATAGTTTTACTAAGAGCTGGAAGAAGGGATGTTGCCACAGACAAGTGAAGTTGCTATCTTTAGAGGTTCCTTAAGCAGAAGGGCCCAAAGCCTCTTAAGGAATTATGCTTGAACAGCTTTCTTAGTAACAGAGAGATTTTGAGTTTTTCGTTGAGTGGTTTAAAGACAACTATAAAGACTAAAAGAGGATAAGATCTTACTGCACGACACCAAGAGCATAGGTAAGAGCAATCAAAGCTATCGTACTGCTTAGTCTTCTTCTTGCTGATCTACCATGTCCCCCGTGAATTGCATCCACCCCAATTAGATTCAAGATTTGTGCAACCACAATATTTTGGTCCAGAAATGAGACCAAAAGTTCTGTTGGCAGCAAGCAGCACCTAAACAAAAAAAACCTGCACCAATTACATACTAAAAGGAGACTAGTAGACAAGTTCTGGATGGCTTGCACATTGACGCTAGTCTAGCAGAAAAGCGGAGTGCCCTCTATGACCTTCTTTGCTCAGCAATTTCTAGTAGCATTAGAGAATAAAATGATATTAATGTGACCCAGGGATGACCTTCCAAACCACTTACGTGATCAAAATTGTACAAACATCCCTTCTATTGAATCTTTTTGGTAAACAAAGGAAGGAGCCTAAAGATCCTATCAAGCTCTATCAGCTTCTTTGACAATCTTTGTTCCTGCCAGCAGGAAAGCCATTCTAGAATTATGACCTTTAAACTCCTGCTTCTATTCATTAATCATTGTTTTTGTAATGCAGTTTGTGCTAGGATGGTATTTTCTCCTCTCCTTCCAATGCCCCCTATCTGGTGTCTTTTGGTTTAGTAAACCTTTGCCCTTAAAAAAAAAGCCCATATCCTTTCTTGCAGCAAATGCTACTTAAAACAGGAAGAATTAGGAACCAGAAGCAGATTCAAGTAGATCCTGCTGACCGAGCCATTGATCAACAATATTTTAGCCAAAGTGGTAACAACTACTGTTTTTAATGAAAGATATTTCTTTCCTGGAGCATAGACTCCATGCATTTTTTTCTTTTGCACTTAACCCTATCATAGTAATGTTGGCTGTGCAAATGTTTACCATTCCAGTTTGGTATAGGCACAAGAGAAACTTTGTTTTAAAAACACAAGCAAGCTATGTGGTTTTGGGAGCACCCCATCATCATGAACTCTTTCTCCTTTCCTGCTCCATTACTTTTTGTCCAATTGCCATTGATTTATTAAGGCGAAAATAGTAATGCTAATATTTATGTATGTCTGTATCTTCCTCTGCATGGACACATACAAATATATCTATGTATATGTACATACACAGAAAGATCTCTTATTGTCCTTATGCTGAATATAAATGACATAGATTCATTTTGCAACATTAGAATAATCGATAAAGCCAGTATTCCACATATACAATGTTTTGTGACTTTTGCCAAATCTGGTCACTTCAGTAAAATCTTTTAGTTAGGACAATGCAACAATTAAGAGATTCTGTCCATCACTGTTCCATGGTGCTAAAGAATCTCCTTATCCTTTCCCCTTGGCCTAAATCTACATAGGAGAAATAAAAACCAGATTTGCCTTTTCTTTTTTTTTATTTAATAACTTATTGATGACCTTCTAAAAGCCTGTAGGAGGATTTTGATTTACTTTTTTATTAGCTAAATCCTTACAGAAATAATAACCCAGGAGCCAGAGGAAAGCAAGGTGTGATACACTTCTCTCCCAATCTTTTTCCTTTATCCAAAAGCAGCTAAGCCATTTTCTATCAGAGCTCATTCAATTCAAGCCCACCCAGCACTTCCAGGAAAGTCTTTGTCTTTTTCTCCTTCCTCATCCAGCAATCCTCCCTCCCCACCTACTTCCCTCCCCCTTCCAGCTTTTTTCTAGAAACATAACCTTCTCTATCATTATTCTACATTCCCTTTATTCTACATAAAGGCTTCTGCCTTGGGCAGGGGATTAGACTAGAACACTTCCAAGCTCCTTTCCAGCCCTAGGAGTCCATCACTCCCAAATTAAGTTGGGTCCATGCAAAAATGCTTCCCTTTAACATGGGTATACAATTAGTTCCTGACATAATAGAGCCTGCCCATTATGCTCATAAAGCATGATAGTTGTAAAGCAGATCATCACCTGACCAATCCAATTTCATGAGCTTTTTGTGGCAGTTGTTAAGCGTGGTTAACTACCATAAACACTTTTGGGCAAAAACTTCATAAACTGTGGTCATGTGACCATACAAATGGTCATAAATGTGGGTTGGTTGCTGAGTACCTGATATATGATGGCATAATTGCAGGAGGTGAGTGGGTGAAGAAGGCAGCTGTCAGAAGTTCATAAGTGAAGGACTATCTGTAGATGAATGATGTGTCTTCAAACTTCCTACTTTCTTTGTAGAGGCAAGAGGCCTTGATGTTGCTTGTTTGGGGAAGAGACTCATATATCTTTTAATCTTACTCTGAATTCTTTATTTCCTTGTCTTGTCAAGAACCCTTGTCATGTATCCTACTGACTTACTTTCTTTTTTTTCTAACTGGAACTGAATAGGTATGATTATATTGATCTCCCCTCAAAATGTCCTGTTTCACCATCTTTATCTGAATTAATTGTTCATCTCTTTCTCATGAAGTGAATCTGTTAATATCCCCACTGACTGTCAATTACTTAAGAACCTGCTAGCTTTTAGACTATGAAGTGCTTCTGATTTCTATGTCAGCCTGTAACCTACTAATTTTAACTACTAAAGACCAAGCAATTATTTGGCTAGCTCTACATGCCATTAGCCAAATATTATATAATAGATTGCACTGAACAATTATTATTTATAGTTTCATTTTTAATTTCCTGAATGCAGAAGCCTGTTTAATAATTTGTAGCATTCAGTTCTAACAAAACTGGTATTCTGGTCTGATATACTGTACTTAAAGGAGTCCTAAATTTTAGTAGTTCTAATCTGCAAATTAAATTTTTACTTTGCTGAAACAGCTCAAATTTTTAGCCATTTGAAAAATGGAAACCTCTCCCTTAATTATTCCAAACTTTTATTAACCCATAGTTAACATTTTATAAAAAGGTATTGGGTGAAGACTTCACACAACTGAACAAATTAGAATATGGAGCTATTGGCCACAAGAAGTAATACCATAGCTAAGTTGTGCAGTTTTTAAAAGCATTTAGACAAATTAGTGGAGGTTAAGACTATCTGTGGCTGCATGTCAAGATGATTATATGCTATCTCCAAGTTAAGGGACACCATGCTTCTAAATTAACAGTTGCTAGGACACAAGTGGAACAGAAAGTTATGTTTTCCTTTACTGAGGAATCTGGTTGTCCACTGTGAGGAACAGAATGCTATGCTACATAGACTTCAGTCTGATTCAGGAGTATTGTTATCAGAACAGTGTTTATCTGATGTATGTCATCTTCAACTTCCAGAATTTTCAGCAATACTGCAGTCATGCAGGCTAGGGAATTTAATGAATTGAAGTCTATATACTTGGTAGATATACAGAGAGAGTTACACTGAACTTCAGCATAAAATAATTTTTTTAAAAAAAATTGAAGTGTTCAATATTCTCCTTATTTGATAAATCATAAATTAAATTTAATTAATTAAGCATCTGCTTAATTATCGCCATGATGATACCAGTATCAAAGCAAAGATAGGGAAGAAGATTGTGATTTGTTGTACTCTTCTCCTATCTTGTACCACAGCTTTCTATCGGATGTTCTCAGACCAATCCTTATTCTTTCCAAATTTTGCTATCTGTAGCAGCAGGCACCTAATTTTCTGATTTTCTTTCCCTATAGTTATCTTTCTTAAGCACTCTTTTTTAATGTTTTCATCATCAGTCCTTTTCATCTGGCACAGATATCGCTCCTTCATAGTTCCTTGATATCCTAAGAATTATTGTAGCCAAACTGGTTAGCAAGATGGGAGACGATAGTCGTCCGAAAGAAGCTTTTTCATGAGGCAACTGGACTTTCTTGTTTTTCCTTTGAAGACATTTCATTTCTCATCCAAGAAGCTTCTTCAGCTCTGACTGGATGATGGGGAATGGAAGGATTGATACTCCTTGCAGATAGCTGATTATTTGCACTTTTAGAGAGTTGTTGAGTTCATCTGGAGGTTTATCTGTGACATCAGGGTCACCTGAATAGTGCAAATGGGTGTGGAGCCTTCTTAGAACTGTTGGAAAGACTGTGTTGTAGACTGGAGATAGATGATGTTACATCCCTCCCCCTTTCTTGAGAGAAGGCTATTCATTCTGACATAGATGGCCTCTTTGACCCCTCTTTCAAACTTTGGATTATTTAAATTACTATTAAATTGTGATGAGACTGGAAAACCACTTCAGAGTACCTAGCTACAGTATATAGGTTAGGGCTGTGGTTTTATTATGTATGTATAAAATGAAAGCAATATCACTTTTTAAATCAGGCAAAGGGAATGTCTTAAGCTATGCCACAAATTTTATTGATGCAAGCTTACCAAGTTGAAGGGCCTCCTAAAAAGTCAGTATTGTAATCTGAGAATAGAGGTACATAATCTGAATTGCTAGGGCCATACGTAACCTTTGAAAAGTTGAGATATGACAACCAAGCCAGATGATTATCATCATACTGTAATTTTATGAAGATGCAAGAGGGAAATTGCTAAATATATGAAGGATGATTGTCATTATTTATAAACCTAACCTAAAGGGTTTTTTTTTTCCTCC